GGTATTCAAATATACGGCGTGCCTACACGAGTTATCATAACTTTTTTTGAACAAGGGATAACTTTTTGAGGGAGTGTATTACCTGGATTTTTTGCTTTTGCTTTACTTTTTTTGTAAAAATGTACATCGTTTTCCGAGTTCGAGTGTTTTAATGAGTAGCTTTATCTCCAAAGAGAATAGAGAGTAGCAGTCTTTCTTTCTCTCTAGGTTTTTTCTTGGACTATTAATTATGAGTACGAGGCATCTGGAGCTGTGACTAAGAAGTCTACCATCCAGATAAGTTTAGTCTTAGACGCTATATTTGTAAATCCTTCCTGCGTATTCCATGGTAAACGTTTAGCGGCCTTACATTTTAAACATCTTATTGTACGGCCATTTTAGATAACACCTTGTTTATTTACACTGCAGTAATGAATATATGGAACATACGTGTGTTAATTAATCGGTTAGTATATTGTGATTGTTTTAAATATCTTGTTTTATTTGGCTCTCTGAACAATTAATTATGTTTCGTCATGGCTATTAGATTCTTTTCTTTTGTGTGTGTGTTCAAGCAAAACAATTTGGTGCTCTTAACCTCCCTACTCTCCGCTTTATTGAGCTATGGCCACTAGGCCGCTGTTTTGCATCAACTCACCATTTGATTTTATTTATCGTGTCTTACTAGTTTATTAAACAATTGCAAAAAAAGGAAGTAGGAAACATACCACCATTTCCTTTATGTATAAAAAGGGAATAGCGGATTATTGTATATTTGTAGTGCTCTTTTCAAATTTATTTTGTTTTTGCTATAATTTACTCTTCTGTTATACTTCAGATTTATCTGTTTGTTGCTTTTAAATATTTCTCAGTGATTTGTGAATTTACTATTATTTTTTCTTTTAATATATTCTACCTTCTTTTTTATTTTCATGCATTGTTTACCTTTTATTTAAAGAAATAAATAAACAGTGACTCTACACAAAACGTCAGTGCGTGAGTAAGTGATAACCAGGAGCTTCCAACGTTTAAATTATTATCATGATGGCAAATGAGACAAAACATAGGATTACTCCCACTTATACTAAGTGACATATAAATCCGAACACCCAGTTTAAATGGTTTTATTTTAATAAAATTTTGTATAAGTACTTAATGAAGCATAATAAGTAAATGATAAAAATTTTAAAATGATTGCACTGCTTTAAAGCCCTTTGACCTTTAATAATGTGTGGATGCACCCTGATGTGCTACGCATTCTCCAACGCGCCTAGGCATGCTTCTGATCAGGTGGTCAATGTCCTCCTGTGGTATCTCATTCCCGGCAACCACCAACTCCTCTCGAAGTGCTTCTAGAGTCTGAGGAGGACGTTGCAAATTGAGCAATCTCCTACCCATCATATCCCACACGTGCTCAATTGGGGATAAGTCGGGAGATCTTGGTGGCCATGGTAACATTGTGACATCATTATGTTGAAAGAAGTCTATTGTGACTCTTGCAACATGTGGTCGGGCATTATCTTTTTGGAAAGTTGGATCTGCCAGGGTGTCAAGATAGGGTAAAAGATGGGGTTCTAGAACTTCGTGGATATAGCGCTGCGCGTTCATGTTACCTCTGATGAAGATTAAAGGTGACCTGGAACCATAAGCTATAGCACCCCAAACCATAACTCCAACAGTGTGATGAACATGTCTTTCAACAAAAAACTGTAGATTCCTCCTTTGACCACGTCGCCTTCTAACCCTGGCACGACCATCGTGCATGCCTAAACAAAATCGAGACTCGTCACTAAAGAGAATACTGTTCCATTCCTGATCCCAGAGTGACCGTTGTCTGCACCACTCAAGGCGATTACGTCGGTGTTCTCGAGTTAAAGGGAGGACCCAGTGTGGCCGGTAGGAAAACAAGCCAAAACTTCTCATTCGTCGGTAAACACTTCGCATGCCAATAGGTCTTCCGTGTTCTGCAAACCATTCATTTGCAATGGACCTGGTAGTGAAGAAACGGTCCCTTAAGGCCAATAATCTTAGGCGACGATCTTCACGGTCTGTTGTTCTACGGCGGCGTCCAGTGCCCCTTGCTCCTTGCGTACGGCCTTCTCGAAGCCATGCCCGACAACACCTAACCACAGTGTCTACACTTCTTTGCACTCTAACTGCAATTGCCCGAAAAGAAAGTCCAGCTTCCCGAAGTCCCACTATACGGCCCCTATCAAACTCACTAAGTTGACGAAGTCGTACAGGTCTCCGTACTCTAGGCATCGTAACCGATCGTAAAGGATGTCAAGAACCAAAATCCGCCAACGTTGATTCTTTACTGCGGCTGAAATATTCATTTCTAGAGCGTTAGAGAATTAAAAAAAAAGCAGTATTAATTTAATGTTAAAAACCCTCGGATGGCTTTCAATACAGCAAAAGGTTGAAATGTCAAATGTCTTATTTATTTTTAAAACAAAAATCATTTATTGCCTGAATACTTGCAGAAATATCTAATACCGAGGTCCGAGAGGCATGCATATAATATCAGGTAACACGTAACACTTTTGACATAGAATTCGCTAGAACATCCTATATGCAAAAATGTCTTTTTAGTGATGGTTTGAGACTTTTTAATGCATTACCTACAGAAATTAGAGAAGCGACGTCTGTAAATATATTTATTCGTAAGGCTAAGCAATTGTATCTAGATAAAATGGCATAATATATGTACTTTCTGTGTTAAGATAACTGTATGTCATTATCTCGCATTTGCTATTGTTGCATTTACTGTGGTTGCAGTTACTATGATTTTAAGGGAATTTAGAATTACTGTTTTTTGTTTATTACTGGAGTAAGACACTATTATAAACTATAGGAAGTAGCTTTAGGGCTAAGAATAATAAACATTTCATTTCATTTCATTTCATTTCAGTATAAAAACCGGAATGTCCAACTGATAAGGCTGAAAATTTTTTCACTTGTTATTTACAGTAAGATAAATACATTCACCAACTTTTATTAAAATAAAACCATTTAAACTGGGTGTTCGGATTTATATGTCACTTAGTATATATTTCTGTACTTTCAACAATTTATATCAAACCTATATTTTTGGCAAATAAATTATTATTTTTATTAATTTGAGTCGATAGGTCCCCCAGTCAGGGACCTCTGAAACGTCAAAAAACGAGGTTTGAACGATTTTTATTTTTTCCCGTTTTCTGCCTCGTGGCTCCGTAACCACTGCTCCGATTTTCAAAATCTTCAAAGTTGTTTCGTCCTTAGCAAAGCGGCAGCCTGGTGTGAAAATGTCATCTAGATCTAAGCAGGCCATTCCAAGTTATGGACGGGCTAAGGACTAGCGGACAGACAGACCGGTAGGTGAACGATGCTTTTCCGTAGTGTCTTTTAACATCGAAAATACATAATAGCTTTTTTCGCGGAGCTAATCTAAAGCATATTCCCAACACAAATAAAGTACCTCCGATATGTTTGACATGCGCAAGCGCGTGATGTAATTAATTCGGAATTTTGAATGTCCGCGAACAGCAAAACCTACCAGATTCTTTCTTCTGCACAAAAGTAAGGTTAGAGTTTTTGTTTTGATGTTTATTATATGAATTTAAGTATTTTTTATCAAGTCCAGCAAGTGTGTCGCCGGTTTTTTTTTAAATGTCTGATAAAGGAGGTAAGTTTTTTTAACCCATCAATAAACAAAAAAATTACTATTTTGTTAGATCTGTCATAGTTTCTGGTATTTCCTTCATGTTCTCAAGACCAGGATGAAGTGGAATCCTTTAAATGGAATTACACCAAGACTCTTATTTTTTTGGACCTATATAAAAAATATAGACTTGGTTGGGTCTTCAAAAATTAAAAAAAAAATGTATGAAAAAATTGCTAAGGAGTTAAGACAAAAAACCAATCAAAATATAACAGGATCAAATTGTGAAAACAGATGGAAACATCTGGAGAGAATCTTCAAGAAATATGTGGACAACAACAATAAAACTGGAAGAGGAAGAAGAGAGTTTGAGTATGCAATGGAAGATATTTTGGGTAAAAAACGAAACATTCATCCTGTTGTATTATTGTCATCCAATACAGTTATTCATCCAACAACACAGGTGGTTACAGGAGATAATCCTGAAAAGGAAAATCTGGTAGAATTTCCTAAAACCAAGGAGCTACTCAGCACCAGCAGCAAGGCAACTGATGTAACAGCTCCTCAAAGGATTACAAATATGAATAAAAATAAAAGGCTTAAAGTTACAATTTTATCGGAAATTCGGAAGGATAGAAAAGAATTTTACAACAAACTTTTGGAAATTGAGGGGAGAAAATTAACAGAAAAAAAAATGATTCTACAGGAAAAAATGAATTAATAAAACCATATTTAGAAAGATCTGATCCACACCTTGATATCCTTTAAAAGGTTTAATTTTTTTGTTCAAAGAATTTAGATGTTAAGTTTTGAATTACATATTTTAAGAGAATTTTGTTATGTTTTTCTATAGTTATTTAGATCAAATTTAAATTAGTATAATTTAAGTTTTAAATTGTACAGTGTTTTTATTTTAGTTAGAGAATTTCGTTGTTTTTTTTGTTTATTTATTTTTTCATTATTTAGTTAATTAATAAACACTACTTGTTTTAAATTTATTTCAAAAAGCTTTTATTAAAAATACATACACATTACATACTAAATTACGAAATTTGAACTATTCATTACTTCATTTCTTTTTGTTATCCCAGTTTGTTCATCCTGATTTTCATTTCCTGCATGTCCAACAATTACTTCATTCTGTGCTTCTGGTGCTGGTGGAACTTCAAAATCATGTAAATTGTCTTCTATTGAAAGGTTGTGCAATACAGCACAGCCCCTTATGAAGTGAACACATAATTCGACATTTCTTAATTTCAAATGGTAAAGTTGTCTGAATTTTTGTTTGAGTACTTATGCCGAAGCAGTGCTTAATTAGGTACATATCTATTTTTCGAAAGAAGATATTTGTAATTTCTTTGGCGACGACTCAAATTACCTCTATCTTGAAATGGAGTTAGGCAATATTGTAAACAAGGGTAACCACTGTCTCCAATAAACAACTTGTGCCTGTAAAAAATAAAATATATTATATAAACATTTAAGATATTATCATACTTGAATAACACTTAAATTGAAATTTAAAATTTTGCTTTCTTACTTGGATCGAAAAAAAGTGCTTCCTGTTAAGGTATGAATCTGGATCATCCTGCGGCTTGTCAATTTCAATGTGTGTACCGTCAATGACGCCAATAATGCCAGGAAATTCGTCTTGCCTAAAGTGGCTTTCAATTTCAATTTTCTCCTCGTTAGTTGGCCATTTTATAAATTCCGCAGATAAATTGGATAAAAAATACGTAAATCTCTTTACAATTTTATGAAAAGAGCTAATCGTAATCCCAAACCGGTCAGATACATCCCTCTGTTTGATAATTGGGTTGCTACTTCCCTTCTTATCCTAAAATGCCCCTAAAAAAGGTGATCGTTGAATTGGGGCACTGTTTCCTCACAAAAGTTCTCATTTTTTGGAACTTCAAACAATTTGTTCAATTCTTCGTCACTTGAACTTAAATGCATCATTGGCATCATCTTGAAAGTAGATAAATGTTTGTTTACATCACAAAGACACAGAATTATAGGTTAGGATTTGTTCTGAATTTTAAATCCCTCCGTCTATCACCGGATCTGTCGAACACATTACGAGCACGTTCAGAACTTAACACAGTTGTACCACGAACAAAAAATGTTTAATCCCGAGTAACAAATTTTGTCACCGCGAACGGTCTTTTTTTAGTGCGCATGCGATGATAAGATGAAGGCGTCCGGGATTCGCTCCGCGAAAAAAGCTAATATCTCATTTTCGAATTTTTTTGCGATTGCAATACTTCTCACCAGTGGCATAGGAAGTAAAAGTTATCAAAACATCTCCTTGTTGCAGATTTGAACTGGCAGTAGAATAAAAATAAGGTCATACCATCCAGTATAATGGTACCATTATTTGAGAGAAAATAACAAAACCGTTAACAAAGTAATAGGCACTTGAAAGATGAAAAAATCCGAGGAAAATGCTTTCTTTGTTTAACTTATCGTCGCGCGTCGGCTGTGTTTACACAACACTTATGAACTAAAATATAATATTTTTAGGTTTCAAGGTATTGATAAAGCGACTTGAAATTTGAGACAAGTCGTCGATAAGCCTTATCAACTACTTTGTATGGCTACATTCAGACTTGTGTCTACTGGAAATATTGGATCCTGTATGGCATGGATAAAAAAGAAAAAAGGTTATCAAAGCGAAAAAACTTGGTTGTGTTATACAGGGTGTTTTCAAAGTTGAGTCATTTATCTTAACTTTATAATAAGGTTATTACACAGATTTTTTTAAATTCTCGACCACTGCCGTGTAAACTCCTTCACCTATGATGAGTTAACAAGGATTAACGATAATGGTTAACTTATTTGGATGCATCGAAGGTATCTGCTTTGCTTATGGCAAGTGGATATAGAGATGCAAGAATGAGAGTTCCTGGGGAACACATGATATGTTAAATACGCGTCTATTTATTACTGGTATTTTCAATTACTTTTCGCATATTCGCATATTTTCTATCCACAACAATTAATTAATGAATAAATTAAAAAAAATATTCGCCGGCGAATAACCTACCATCTACATAATGCCAATAATAATGCTTTTCTTTATCCTTCGACTGTCCTAAAAAAAATTGCTACGGGCAGCCAAATGACTCGAGCGAGTTCAAACGTGTACTGAAGGCGGATCACAGGTTCCTCTGCCCCCCCTCCAATCCCGGTGCCGCCAGACATAGTAGTAACTGAAGATACAACTACAGTATCAACCGTCTGTGTTAGAGGTATTTCCAGAAAGTAAGTAAAAACACTGGTGCTCTATCACCCAATTCATGTGTGTGAGCAAGAGCGAGTAGTAGCTTGCGCAGTGTGTAATTTTCCCTAGGGATGTTGAGCTACGCACATGGTATAATTACTCAATATGTTTACCCACTTCGTATGACGCTGTGACGTATCCGCCAAAAACCGTAATAAGAACTTCGTAGTACTACAGATGGCCAGTGAGGAAGATTGCATACTTGTTGGAGCACCATTTATTAAGATAAAAACGTAACGTGGTGAATGTAATTATATCTCTGGTAAATTGCAGCAATTTAACTTAAATAGGGTATTATGTGTTTTAAATTGTAATTACCACTATTAGGTCCATGTTCCCGTGTTATTCATGCTTGTATGTCAAGATGGCAAACAAGCTGATACCTTTGTTCGACAAAAACACTGATTCACTCTTATGCAGAACACTACTACTTATGTTACTATCCCGTGCAATGCTCAGTGTCGTATCTGGAAAAAGTCACTAGGAGACGTCCGATATTTACATTGCCTTATTCTTCCCACACCAATAGGAAAAAGTAGTAAAGTAAACGTCAAATTAAGATTTTGCTTTCTTTCGTCCCATCACCAAACGTCATGTCTCACACCCACCGGTTGGTCTGTCTATTGTTTGTTCGATAATTATTGACTCATCTATAGTATAACTCAAAAGGCTTTCCATAAAAGATTAAAAGATGGACACTATACAAGACTACTAGGTTAGGGACGGAAAAAACTTTGTAGATTTATAAAATCGGTCTAGTCTTGAGTTACAACAAAAATAAAAAGATGATAGTTCATGTTTGTCTTGCCACTAAAGGAAGCCCGTTCTGGGTGGGTTATTGCGTTTTTGGGGCGCTTTTGGCGTTTCCGGGGCGATGGATGAGGGTAACGTGACTGGTCCATTAAAAACCGACAGATAAGATTATGCTCGCGTGTTGCTTTGGAGAGCTGGACGTCCTTTGGGAGTGGTAGCGCATTCACCACAAAATGTCGTTATCTTTGGAATCCGTATACCCGAGAAGTAACAAATAAGGAAATAAATATTGTATATCACAAAAATGCTATAATTGAACGTTTGCTCTGGAATTTGGAATGGTGCACTGTTTAGTCTAATCATATTAGACAAAAATACCCCTAGTTTACATAATAATTGTAAAGGCGGTATTTAAAACGTGGTTGCATAAAATGGCTACACCAATTTTTGTAGGAGAACTTTTTATTCGACAACAAAGAATGAGATAACGTGTTTTTTGGGATTCAATCGAAAGTGTTGGCAGGAACGAAAAAACTCTTCATTTAAGATTTTTAGGTATTTATGAGACATACAAAATGAGACCATACGTAAGAAGATCCGACTAATATCAAAACAGTTATTTATGGTCGAAAACCAAGGCAAACTGCAGGTTTTAGCACTTGTTGGTGATGCGACGATGATTTCTCGCAAATACTTGAAATTCTTCAAATTCGTACTTCTAAATAACCCCAACAAAATTGTTCAACTCCAAGATGTCCCTCCTATGCGGAAATTGCACTCATTTTTAATCGATAAGACAGAAGTAAAAGCTTAGCGCTGTCAACCTACTTAGGCATTGCAAAGATCATTGACTCGTTATCTATAAGAGCATATAAATTCAACGTCCTAAAAATTTATAGCTATTATTATTGTTTGCGATTAGATTCTGATTTATTGTGGCAGTATATCAAATTTCCGTAATTCAAAGAGATATTTGCTAGTATAAAGATGTCAACCGAATAACGGAAAATACCCATATGCATATACATATGTAGGTATGTTACTGTAGTTGACCTTTCAGGCTGCAACCATATGCATGCAAATAATTTTATTGAGATTTGAGTTATATCTATTGAAATAAAGGCGCCTTCGTTGAAAGGCAAGAAAGGTGGCGATACAGGATAAATTCACTAGAAGATACCTAATAAATTGTCTTCGCAAATAGATACTTTAATTTAATTTTTGGTTCAACGCATCTACGGTAAGAGCACCTACCCTTTCCTGGAGTTTAATTAAGTCATGATAACATTCCACTAAAATGGCGTCAAGTAGATTGACTCTGTATTTCCCACGCTACGTATCGGTTCATAAAGGATTATGTTACGCACAAGTTAGCCCTCCCAAGAAAAAAGTTGGCTAACTACAAATAGTAAAATTAAATAAATCAAGTCAGTCAAGTAAACCCATACAGTTAGGCCATAGTCAACATTAATTTCATAATGTTACTGTAAATTTCTTCCCTATGACTTGCTATGACTTACCTCGCCACTCGTCACGCACTGTAGTTACCCATCGATCAGGACGGCTTTAAACCCGAGATGGTGGCTGGAACGTAAAAAAAATATTTCCCTTGGTGATTTATTTTTAGTTTTCATCTTACTATCTATTTGCTCACAAAATCTTTTTGAGCGCAATTGAAAGTCTACATGAAAGAATAATAATTTGTATTTTGTTAAGGTTTAAGAATTTCAAGTCGTCTGCACATTTTTTACGTCGCCCTAACATAATCATTGAGTTCGGAGATGATTAACACCAAAGCTTCGAACCGTTGTCTTAATTCTAAATTTGTTAACACAAGGAAAATCGAAAAATGGAAGTTTTTAGACGATCTGACAACACTTTGGATCTTATTTGCTATTTCTGAAATTGCGCAGATATAAGAGCGCCAACAAATACACCATGCAGCATTTACACGATGCAGACATCAAGAACCATGCAAAGATTGCACCCTGAATAAGGTAGGGTTCGTAAATACAAATAACATGACAGTTAGGAACCATCTTCTTAATGTTGATCCCTCCAAGAAAAAAATTGAGGACCGAGACTACAAAAAGATCAACAAATGAACATGCTGACAAACAGACACGCTGACTGAATTAAGCGACATGGGTTTTCATGATGAAAACATCAACCCATCAGCAAAAACTCGACATCTCTCACAATTTAGTACATATGAAATAAAATGTAAATAATGTATATCAAGAATATACGAGTCCCTTTCCACTTCAGTTGGGCCACTTCAAGATTTGTACCAAAATATGCCTTTATAAACTAAATATGACGAAACTATTTACTTCTAAAATAATTTATTTTCTCAAAAACATTTTAGATACACTCTGGTGGTAAAAAATACATATTACTTACACTTAGACCTATAACTAATAGAACATCTGAATAAATAAACAATGTGCCGATAAATGCGCGAAGTTAACAAAGCAACAATTGAAAGATTACCATTGGGTAACATCACCTTTATCTTTTATTACGGCTGAAATTCTTTAGGGCATAGTGTTAACCAAGTTTTGGCAAACATTTGGTGTAAAACAATCCCATATTTCTTGAAGCTTTTGCCTCAGTTCGGTGATTGTACGAGCAGGACCTTTTTTATCTCGTGCCACAAAGTTTCAATAGGTGACAGATCTGGACTGATAGAAACCCATTTCAAAAGTGGTACATTATTTTCTTCCATCCATTTTATAGCCTTTTTGAGGTATTTCACGCTGCACTATCTTGCTGAAAGACAAAATCTTGGCCGGATGTCAAAAATTCTTCCATCACTGGTAAAAGCGATTCTTCTAAAATTGCCAAATCTTTGTTTGTATCCACATTTCCATCAATAAAATGAAGTTTTCCTACTCCTCTTGATGACATACTGCCCCAGACCATAATGGATGCTGGAAATTTCACTTTTCTCTTCAGACAGTCAACATGGAATGCTTCATTTTTTTTGCGAATAACCCTACTGCGACTGTCACCGACACAAACTTCGAATCGGGTCTCATCACTCCATTGTATTGCACACCATTGTTGATGTGTCCATTGTCTATGTGCTTTAGCCCATCTAAGCCCATTTTTCTTTTGCAGTGGAGCTAACAGTGGCTTTTCTTTGGCCTATAAACAAGTTATGCAACTTTAGGGTTTTTACTTCAGTTTTTTTTTATAAGAAAACTTACCTTGCAGGTGCTAAATCCCAGTTTGTGGGCCTCTCTATGAGTTGTGGACCTCGAAATTCCTTCCAACAGCGTCACTCCACAGAGCACTTAATTGTAGATAATTGGCACGCCTGTTTTTCACGATTAATCTTCTTAATGCTCTTCGGTCGGCATTTGTGATATTACTTTTTTTCACATATCGTGGCTTAATATTAACTGAACCAGTTACGTTATATCTTCTAACAATATTTCTCACAGTGCACCGCGATAAGTCTAACAAAGTTGCAATTCCTGAGTTTGATTTCCCAGAAATCAGTAACCGAATTTTCTCACTAATAACCTTTCCTCTACCCATTTTGAAAACGTTAACTGCCCAAAACTATTTTAAACGTATTCTGACAACTGTGATTAATAAAAACAATTGTCATGGCTTTTATTTTTCACAGCCACCTATGCGTTATAGACTTATTTTGCATTGAAATGAAAATAGGTTGATATGCTGTAATTGCAACATGTGTTATTTTTATGCTGCAAATTTGATTAGGGAGTGATAAGGTTGGTGTTTTCTACTATATATTATCAAAATATTCATTGTTAATATTTTAAACCTATAACACCCTGCTACATTTTTATTAGACTTCAATAATTCAATATGAAATCGATAGCAGTATCACTGCCCTACGATATTTCAGAACCACGCAAAGATTGCACCCTAAAGTAGGTAGGGTTCGTAAATACAATTAACATCACAGTTAGGGACTATCTTCTAAACCTTATCACTCCAAAAAAAATATTCATGCAAAAATGTTGAGAAACGGGTGTTTGAGGACCGATATTAAAAAATTACCAACAAATGTACAGGCTAATAAACTGACACGCTGACTGAATTGAGCGACATGGGTTTAGATAATATAGATATCAGAACACATCAACCCATTAACAACAAACCAACATCTGTCACAATTTAGTATGTATGAAATAAAATAACAAGAATATATAATAAACGGTTTTAAATATAAAAATCAACCGTTGATCTGAAAATTTGCTGTAATTGCAACATGTGTTATTTTTATGCTGCAACTTTGATTAGGGAGTGATAAAGTTGGTGTTTTCTACTATATATTATCAAAATATTCATTGTTAATATTTTGAACCTATAACACCCTGCTGCATTTTTATTATTCGTGTTTGATAAGAAAAAACTAAGATTGGGGCAACTGAAGTGGGAAGGGGCTCGTATAATAAGCGGTTTTAAATATAAAAATCAGCCGTTGATCTGAATGTTTAACAATTTCGGGACCACAATTTTGTAGTAAGTAAATTTATATAAAATCGATAGCAGTATCACTGACCTACGATATTTCAGAACCATGCAAACATTGCACCCTGAAGTAGGTAGAGTTCGTAAATACAATTAACATCACAGTTAGGAATTATCTTCTAAACCTTATCACACACAAAAAATATTCATGCAAAAAGGTTGAGGACCGATATTAAAATATTACCAAGAAATGTACAGGCTAATAAACTGACTGAATTGAGCGATATGGGTTTAGATAATGTAGATCTCTCAAAACATCAACCCATTAACAACAAACCAACATCTGTCACAATTTAGTATGTATGAAATAAAATGTAAATAACAAGAATATACAGGGTGTCCGCAAAGTTGGGGTTTTCCTTTACACAACGTGTAGATCTTGAAAACATAAGCAATTTTTCTTAGTACCATATACACCAATGTCTTAAGGGAACCGAGATAAAGGGCTCTGCAACATCAAAAATATCTGAATACCGTCCTGTAGCCGCGACCCGCGATATCACCGACTGGTACAAGTAGGTCGGGGTCAGTGTGTCAGGTCAGTATGCAACCTTCAACCGACGGTTACGGTCACGCGTGTAGAGGTAAACGAACCCGTATAATCGATTGCGTTTCAAAAAACAACAAGCACTAGAGACGTGGCTAGAGAAGTGCAAGTATCAAAAACTAAAGTGTGGCAAACGCTGCGTGAAGAGGGGCTGTATCCGTTTCACGTCCAACGTGTACAAGTCCTTCAACCTGACGATTTTCCAGCAAGAGTGCGGTTTTGTGAGTGGTTGTTGCATCAGCATGACAATAATCCGGACTTTTTGAAGTGCATATTGGTGACAGACGGATCTACGTTCACGCGTAATGGGGTGAATAACTTTCGCAACACTCATGTTTGGTCAGTAGAAAATCCGCACGTTGTCCGTCGGGCACATTTTCAACAAACATTTTCGGTGAATGTTTGGGCTGGCATGGTGAACGGTATGCTCATTGGACCATTTATTCTCCCAAATTTGTCATATTTGTTACCTCGGTTCGTGGTCTGCACCACCGCCGGCGTCTGCGCGGTAGTGTATCAGCTGATTTCATTTTCTGTTGGAGCGGTATGATTTCGGGAAGAGACGTACTTAGCCCTTCTCGTCAACTGGAGAGTGAGTACTTTTTCCTTTATTTTTTTTACTTGGTCGCCCTCGTTTCACTACACATTACCTTTGTTATTTCAAGGGTATTTGTTTCTGAAAAGGAAAACCCCAACTTTGCGGACACCCTGTATAATAAACGGTTTTAAATATGAAAATCATCCGTTGTTGAAATTTAACAATTTCGGGATGACAATTTTGTAGGAAGTAAATTTATGTG